ATGGGTCATCTGCTCAGGCTGACACAATTCACCAAGTAGCAAACACTATTTCAAAAGGGAAAAGAAAGCATCTCTTCTAACATGTTGCCATTCTAGCAACTCTTACTAAACCCATTACAACAAAACAAAGAATAAAATATAATGGGTAGAAAACTGAACAGTGTATACCTTGCAAGCTGCCAAAAGAGACCGTGACTGTAAATTCTCAAAAATCCATACAAATACTTCCACAAGCTGTTGGTGTTTTATGTCTTCAAGTCACCAAATTCGCCTTTTAATATTATTTACAAAATGCCTTTTTCGTCAAAATGATTCTGAAAAATCTTCCTCAAATGTCATAGAGTTCCTCTTCAGTGTAGTAGGCTATGTACAGTATATCTCATTTGGAGCAAAGGAACAATAACTTAACCTGGTTTGGCAACAGGCTGGCTTGCTTACAGGTAATTGCCATTTTTAATCAACACAGCTCTTTCATAAGACCTAAAAAGTGCTTGAATAAAAAGAAATGTTAACTCCTACAGCACCGATAGTAATTCATGATCACGTCTCAATAAAATTCTAGAGTATTGCTCTCTAGACTCTCTCCTAGATAGGAAATTTCTCTAGAATGATTACATAGTGAGTCATTTTACTAAATTTCCTTTGAATGACCTACTGATTTTAAATATATTTGTCAAATTTTCTTTCACGACTTTCAACAGAAGTCCAAATAAAATTTGAGCAAAATGTTTCTGCTGCTTCTTGGAAGTTTCTGTCTATACATAACTGGAAACTTCTGAGCAACCTCAATTATCTAAAAATATTTATACAGAGTCAACACTGCAAAATGGGGAAAAAATTTTACAGAAAATTACAATAGGAAAAGTGCCAAAATTCAAAAAGCAACATAATTGGAGCATTACTGCAACAGTATATGCAGATTGCTGTGATCTGGGCTGAAAATTCCAAAATTTACTATTAAATATGAAGGACCAGATACATTTTAACTTAGGACACCATGTTCACTTGGAGAGGGAGAGGGCTCCAGGGAGACCTTATAGCAACCTTCCAGCATCTTAAAGGAGCCTACAAGAGAGCTGAAGAGGGTCTTTTTTACAAGGGCATGTAGTGACAGGACAGGGGGGAATGGCTCTAAACTGACAGAGGGTAGGTTTAAATTTGATATTAGAAAGAAAGTCTACTGTGACGGTGGTGAGATGCTGGATGGGGCTTTGAGTAACCTGGTCTAGTGGAAGGTGTCCCTGGACTATGGCAGGGGGGGTTGGAATTAGATGATCTCTAAGGTCTTTTCCAACCCAAGCCACTCTGTAAATTGTGTGATTCTGTCTCCTTGTTTGATACAGACACTGCCAAGTGCTCAGACAGAAAATTCCTACAGAAAGATATGCACTTTCATTGAATAACATGCAACTTTAACTTCTCATTTTCAACAGTTTGAATGAACTGGTTTAAATGAGATGCAGGGTTGCAAATGAACAGTGAATAAAAACCTAAGTATTAAATGACTGCTTCCTTTACTAAATTCTGTCATTCCTGATCAACGAATAAGGCAAGGATCCTACGGAAAAAATAGAATGTAAATCTCCAATTAAATACACATACACAATAGTGAAAAAAATTGGAGAACATGAAAACATTACTTTGGGCATTTACTAATCCCTTAGTGCTTCATTTTACAGTTAAAAATTAGTCACTGTCCTCCCACTCCTTACAGAAAGAAAATTCATTTCAAAATTGGAATGTGGAATAATTTTGAGGAGAAACAGGACACATCACCGAGTAACTTCAACAGTAAAAGAGACGGAAACCGCATGTGTTATTCTATTTGCAGCCTTTCCTATGCACACATATCAACCCTGTTTTACAAGTCTCTGTAGATATATCAGGACTGAAATACCATACAAACTGCACATGCATCAATCCAATAGAATAATGAGAATCATCTATTCAGCAGAAGTTTTCACTCAGATTAAATGCTTTCATTCTCTAAGCCAATGAAATATTGGAGGTTGGTCAGTTTAACTGTGCAACATATCCCATTCACAAAATGGCAAAAACCTCCAAAGTTTCACTGAAGCAGCCTGGCAATCAAGGAGATCCTTCCTTCTAAATACCAAGCTTTCACCACCTTCAATTGCAATGCTAGGAGATATCCCTGACAAGAGCCAAAAATCTCAGCTACCTGAAAAGCAGCATTTCCCCCAGTCTGTCCCTTGTTGTGGTTTTTTATTTTTAATAGCTTAACTGCATCTTATAAATTTTTCAGGAAACTGGATTTGTTCCTTGCCTGGACTCACTGGTACCAAGCTTCAGCTGAAATTACAAACTCAGCACATTTTAAAAATCTGAAATAGCCCATGGAAAAGCTTGAGGATCTTCATTACAGGTATTACAACTTATTTTTCTCAGAAAATAAAAGGAAGTGTTTACAAAGTTCAGCACAAACTTTATTTTAAACAAAAAAAATTTACTCTTGTTCATTAATAGAAATAATAGATTAATAAGATCAAAGTAAAGTGAAGTCTAAATTAATCTGTCATCAGAGAAGCTAAATTCAATCTTGTGTACTAGAATGCTGTTCCTGCTACAGAAATTCCTTTAAAACTAAAAAAATTTAAAGCAGTTTCCTAATTTCCCCACTCACAGTATGTATCTATTACTAGTAATAGCAGTTAGTTTTCCAAATAGGGCATGTGACTTCTGATTTTAGGAAGAACAATACTTTTTAAAAAGCATACTGAAAAAGTGCTGTCCATTGCTTTAAATATGTATTTTCTGACATGCCATTCTGTTTCACAGTTGCACTTTTAAATGTCAAATGATCCAAATAAGAATTTCCATGCATTTTGGATAAACAGTAAATAAAGAACTTTAGAAGAGAGACTCAAAACCAAAAAGCACAAGTACAATATAATACAGATGTTAAATATATAACCAAAGTTAAGTATCTGCAAAACCCCAAATTAATTCTGCTTCATGTATCAGGAGACATGTTCATTAGGACAAGCCTAAGCTAATGAGAAGTACTAGTTAGAGAGCAGATATAAAAAATTATTCCAGTAGTATATATATTAATCCTTGATTCAAAAACTCTTGAAAATCCAAGAACAGTGAAAGAACTCAATCTACAGGTGTAGGATCTCTCTTCTCCAGCTATTATGACGTTACACAGCACTTTTAACTGGAGTCTTGAAGTCTTAGCTAAGACATCTTTCTTATTCTTCTGTGAAAATGGCAACACAGAACTGTGGTGAACCCTTTTTGTCTTTCAAAGATAATAGAGAAGACAGATGGCTGCTGGTAGATTAAAAATCCTTATCCTTTTGTAGCAACTTGCTTTTATACATTTTTAAACATAACACTCCCTTATCTTTTCACTGAATACTGTTAGGGACTGCTTTTGTCGAATATTTCCAGGAGCCCATTGTACACAGTGCATCACGAGCTGCATGGCCTGAGGCCAGGCAGGAAGGTGTGGAACACGTCTTCACAGGTCCATTTCCACTCTCCAAGTTTTCAAGTATTTGAGAGAAGGTCATGTTACAGCACAGATTTACATAGCAGACAAATTACATGACTGCCTGTTCTCAGCATTTCATAATTTCAACAGAAAAAATTAGGTCAAATGAAAAGGGGGAAGAATAACCCTATCCTTTCACAGTAGTCAGAAAATTAAACAAAAAACTTACTTACCTTTTGTTCTTGCCAAAACAGGTAAAAATTCTGTATTGGCAGTAAACAACTTTATAGTATTTGATTTACCATTCCGTTACAAAATCCTTTCCTTTTTTAATGCCTCCAAACAACCATAAACAAACCCAAAAATTTGCTGTATTGCTGTTTAAAACACTGATTTTACTATTAGTCCAAAACATGCACCCTTTTACAAATATGCATATTATCAAGGAATGCATTGGTAACTTCAAGGGTTTCACACACAGTCTGACAGTCTAGTAGGAGTGTTAAAAGAGGGAACTGCTCTTTGTATCAACTGTCTGGATGAAAAGAATAATAATTTGGAACAGATTCCCCACCACCACCCTCAGAGCATAACATTTAGTGCACTTTAAAAAGGGCAGTATTGGCCAGTCTCAGCACTGCCTGCACATTATGTTTATACTTGACAGAGACTAAAATTACAACGTTCATATTTTCAGGATAACTACAAAATACCTTCCAAGAACAGTTAAGGATATCGTAATGTAAAACAACAAATTTAGCAGTGCTTAGAGGTATGTATCCACATATCTGTATTTCCCTTAACTTACAAGACTAATACTTGCACACAAATTCTTGTGTAGTGTACAGTTAAAATATGCTAATCGTTACCCTAGATAGCTTTCAGGATTTGTTTCAACACAGTCAAGCAGTTATAGGGTTTAGTCTGGCATACTGTTGATACTCTTCTTGAGCAAGCAGAAAGAATAAACATTAACAAAGAAATTACTGGCTTCAGTAACTTTAATTAGACTTGACATTATTTCAGTTTCTAAAAATGCCAAATATGAAATCTGATTTACTTTCAGCAGAAAGTTTTAAGCTGATGCACAGTTAAAAAGGACTGTAGTTTTAAGCAACTGCTGAACAAATTTTTGAAGACAAATTCACTGCGTTAGCTAGATTTTACGTGCATTTGATACCTATTAAACAAGTAAAAAAGAGGAAACAACTTTTTGTGGAATCTGTCATTTTCTCTATTTACTAACACAAACTCTGAGGGACGAATTTTACCGAAGGCTTCAGCTTAGCATGTTGCAGCCCTGCAGCTAAAAATTCAGATGAAAAACATGGGAGCTTTTTCTCTTCTGAGACAAAAGGAACTTTGGGGAACATTTCCGAAGGATACCAGAAAGCTTGTCTAACATACAATGGTTCCTACTCAGCATAGCCCTCCAAACAAAGAGTAACAGATGCACAACTGGTATTAATAACAAAACATCTCCTCCCTCTGTTAGTCAAGAGAGGACAGCTAAGGACAAATACAGATTCAGAGTACTTACCTACTCGGAAGTTAGTGGCTGTCAGAGTGTCAGCAGCATGGCCGTTTTCACTGATGAGGGTGGTTGTATTTCCCTTCTCACAGTTGTTCTGACAGTTGCCTTTGGTGCAAGTTACTTTACAGATGCTGGGTGTAAAGACCACCTTGATCCGACCAGTGTGATTTCCCACTGTCAGCGGAGGCAAAGAAAAAAGAAGAAGTAAACAGATCACTTTGGTATCCATTGATTTCCTTCAAAAAGTTTTTTGGGAAAAAAAAAAAAAGGCGCGGGGGGGGGAAAAGGCGACAGGTCTACAGGAGGAGGGCAGTCTGCAGTGCTCTCTCTCATAGATCTCCAGTGGTGTCTCTGAAACAGGAGTAGGAAGCTTAGCAAACAGAACTCCGGGATCCGCTCCAAAACCACATTTAAAGTCAAGTCACTGGAGTGGGATTAGTAATCACAATGCTGCACTTTATTCACAGGCAGACAAAGAGCAATACCAAGGGCATGACAGCTTAAATAGCCAACCCTGACAGGCAGATGTAATGTAAAGAGGCTGGCTGTGCACCTAGAGGTGAATAAACTCTTGTGTACTCCTACATACTTTTCCTGTTTCTGCACATATTAAGTCACTATTTGTAGCTCGACCCCTGGAAATGTTTTAGGCATGCGGCATGTCTGAAAACATCTGTCTCAAATCTCCTGGCACCCCAGCTCGAAGTGGTCAAACCTTGTGACGCAGCTGCCTGGACCCATTTTTTCTTCACAGTTTTTTGGCACTATTTTTCCACAAGGATTTACATCCTATAGACTGATCTTTGCTGTCAGCCTTTGTTTAAGTAATAAATAGCTCAGAGAAAAGCATGAGAAGTATCAGTGCTTTAAAATACTGAGATGAAAAATAAAAAAGGGAATCTAGCCATTTTTTCAAATACTTCCTCACAGTCATTTTAAAAACTTGAATGCAATAAAGACTGCACAAACACTAACTTTTAAATTAAGCTAATTAGAAGAATTTCTTTTCACAGAATTATATTTAAAACCAGATGTATTTGATTCTACATCTAATAGCTGAAGACAAAAAAGATATTAAAACTGCTCATTAGGAAAATTAGGAAAAAGAACATATTGCATTTGCAATTATTTAAAAAGAAAACAGTTTGTCCTCTGCACACTTCCTAGTAAATTCAACAAGTTCTTGTAAATATATCATAGTATCTTTGTGAAAACTATTAATAAATACTTTCATATCAAACCTAACGATGCCAAGAAATGATGCAGAGAAAGAGAAGAATCTCCTTCCTCATGTCATAGAAATAAAAAAGTTGCTGGATAGTTGCCTGACCTAGTTTATGAAATACCCTCTGGACAAACATTTTTTGAAAATCTCAAGAAAATTAAGAAAATCTTCCCACTTCAAAAGAATATAAAGCCTTCTTACTTCTGGCTCTTCATAAACAAATAAATTAAAGCAATTGTGCCAACTGTTTTGTCTACAGTAAAGGCATTCCTCTATTTGAACAGCAGCTGTAGTACATATGCTCCCACCTTATTCTCCCTTAACAATGGTTAGAAAACAGCAGAGCCCAGACAGACACAGGAATAAAATATTTCAATTAAAGGTTAATATTGTGATTTTTGTGGATTTAGAAGATACCTTGGTTTCTTGCATGCCAAGCATTTCTTACAAAAATTAATACACCTTTGCCAGTAAACAGGTAAGTGACTTGTGAACTGCTGAGGGTAGAACTTCTAAGCTTTGCTTTTGTTAAGCACAGCTTCACAAGCAATATTGCCATCTTTGTATTTTATTTGCAAAGTTATATATATATATGTTTTCCAAGAAAAGAGTCCATTTTGTATTTTATATTTTCCGATGTTTTAGCAATATTTTTCCTTTAGGATGTGATCTAATTAAAAAAACATGGTTAGTTGAGTCACAGAAGTCAGTCTTGCCTACACTGTAGAAACCAGTATTGGGGGACCTAGACAAATTTTCCAGCTTAGCTAAAAACAAAATAATTTGGCTTTGTCAGTGCTGGAAGTGAAGAAAATGCAGAGCTCAACATGTGAGCCAATACTGAAACTGGATGAAGGTCATGTGCTTTGTGTTGCCAGGGCACTGGGGAGGAACGTTGAGGCCATGTGGTCTCGTTCTTCTACCTGACACCCAGAAATATTTTGTATAAACCACAAAGAACAGAAGGTTTGACCACAGTCCTACCCACAGCACTTTGCACAACAGAGGTTAATAAGGTATAAAAAGCATTCCAATTTTCTATCTAACTAGGGGATGACAATTTGACATGGAAATGCAGGTACAGATCAACAGGTTAGTTGTCCCCACCCTCCCCAGAAGGGACATCTTTTGGCAAGCCTTGCATCCTCAGCTATGCTGAGTGTTGACACAGGATATTAAGCTTGTGATTGCAATTGCTTAATGCATTTCTCACCAGCAATCCAAAAGAACCATCTACAAATGCTGCATTCACTAAATTGTCCTATTCACGAACCCAAGTGACTCTTTTGAATGCGACTGGATCTACAGTGCAATGACCATTCATGCACCTGGTGTCCAGCCCAAGTTATGTTCTTGAAACAGTCAGTAAGTCAGTACAGGTGAAACTAAACAATGGTTTCATCCTCCTCCACAGTATTCTGTACTATGGTGTTGAGTGCCGAGCTGAAGCAAATCTTGGGTATAACGTTTATAACAACAACAAAAACTATCACAGTTTAGATTTTACCAGAAAAACCTGTAGCACAAGTATTTTAGTGGAAGAGATGTCTTAGTATGAGACTCAGTGGAAATTGTAAAGTTTGCCTTTCTATCCTTTCAGATAAGAAAATATTAGTTACTCCCAATCTAAGTTTGGGAGTAACAGCAGTTGAACTGTAGTTTCAAAAACACAGATCAGTATCTAAAGAACTAAAAAGCAACCATGAAAGAATACTTAAGTGCAGCTTTTCAGGGAATAAGTCTTAACAAAGAACATGGTGCAAGCCCTAGTCCCTACAAATATTCAGTCATTATTCAGCAATGTTTTTCACAGAATATTCTGAGTTGGAAGGGACCCACATGAAGATAAGAGTCCAACTCCTGGCCCTACAAAGGATGACCCCAAGAATCACACCATGTGCCTGAGAGCGTTGTCCAAACACTTCCTGAACTCTGTCAGGCTTGGTACTGCAACCCCTTTCCTGGGGTGCCTGTTCCAGTGCCCAACCACTCTCTGGGTGAAAAATCTCCTTCTAATACTCAGCCTAAACCTCCCGTGACACAGCTTCAGGCCATTCCCTCAGGTTCTGTCTCTGGTCACCACATGAAAGAGATCAGTACCTGCCCCTCCTCTTCCCCTCACAAGCAAGCTGGAGACAGCAATGAGGTCTCCTCTCAGACTCCTCTTCTCCAGTCTGAACAGACCAAGTGACCTCAGCCGCTCCTCACACGGCTTCCCCTTCAAAGCTCTTCACTATCTTTGTTGCCCTCCTTTGGATCCTCTCTCATAGTTTCATAGCTTTCTTCAATTGTGGCACCCAAAACTGCATTGAAGAGCACTGGCAATAGAATGGAGCTCTATAGAAATCCAGTTGCCAGCTTCATCCCATTTACTATAACACTTTGTGCCCAATCTGTCAGCCAGTTTTTCACCCATCACATGAGATATGCTACTTACTTTGCTATAAAACACATTTAATTCTCAGATATTTCGGTTTTGGTTGTTGCAAGAGATAGAAATAAGACAGCTTCATATTCTTCAGATGTGGGAAAATTTTCTCAACCTTTTAGATTTATGAAAACTCTAATGACACTTATTTTCTTCTCCTCAAGTATCAGGCCACATCTTTTAACTTCAATTCTTCTGGAGACATTTAGGAAGGATACAAAGCCAATGATGGTCCCTGAAGTGAAAATTGACCAGTGTACGAGGTGGTGATGTTATTATCATTATTCTCTGCATTGCACCTAAGTTGACAGTACTATCCTCACAAATTCTGAGGGTTAGGGACCTTAATAGTGAGCTTAATACAACCAAATTTGAACTGAAAACAGGCCACAAACCCTTTTCTTAAAAGGAAGCTTTTAGCAGAAACTGCAAGATTAGACTCTTGGACTTCCTTGAATCTTCTCCCCTTCTTCCCTTCTGTACTTGGGGTTTTTTCTCTCCCTCTTCTCCAAAGGGGAAAATTTAATTCTAAAGGAGAAATTATATCTTTCAATATCTCTTAGCTGATCTTGCAGTATTAATGTTAAAACTCACAATTTCGTGCTAGGAAAAGACCATTACTGCTATAGCCTTGACTCTTTTGACTTTGGACTAGCTCATATTAAAGGACAATGTAATTTTAAGGAAGCATAGTCATTATTTTCCTCTTTAAACTCCAGAACTTTTACTGATGATGCCATTCTGACTTAGACACAACAAAATGTACAACTTAGATTATCTCAAATTCATTTCTGGAAAAAAAAATGATGGTGCTACAGCAACACACCTGGGATAATTTGGAGAGAGAGAGAGAGAGAGAGAGAGAGAAATTTATCATAAAGTCTTCAAGACCAATTTTAAACATGTGGAAATGAAACACCTCACCATGCTCTTAAGTATAATGCCAGACTGAAGAAATGCAAAAGTGAGAGCAGATAAATAAATGAGTCTAATGAAAGACTACAAAAGTAGAAGACAAGCACCAAATAAATGGCAAAGCTACTGAAAAAAAATGGTAGAACTGGAGACAAACTCAGACTGCTATTTTAATAAAGACAGGATAAACAAGATTATTAATACTGGATAAAGCTTCATCCCTGAGCTAGGCAGCAAACGCACAATGAGGATACTCAGCCAACAGCTCCATCATCCTGCCTCATAGTCCAGACTCACTTAAACTTAAGAGCTCCACGATATATTTGTCAAAAGAGATCAGCGGAAGAATGCACCCATAATTTCCAAAATCTGTAAAACTCTTGAGCCAGATTAAAAAAAGAAAGATGTCTGGCTAAAGTGATGAGATTTTAGTTGAAAGTTGGCACCATATACATGTGATTTTCTTTCCATCTCCGTAAGTCACTATGATATAATATCATGAACACAGCAAGCTCCTGCTGTGATAAATTTATGATTTAGCAACAACAACTGCAGGAGAAATGGAAAATACGAGCAAAAGTATTTCTTCATAGAGTCCCTTCTGCC